GTGTTTTACGGCGATCGCAACTGCTTAAGGTCATATGAGCGCTCGGGACACATTAAATTAAACTTTTTCAGTTGGTAGGAAAATTTAAATTTTGCTCTGGTGGCGGCCGAAGCCTCTTCTTATCGATTTTCGACCACCGAGGGATCTGTTACGTGTGCAACTTGTACATGGGACCTCCGAGATATTTTGCCTTATCCAAGAAAGCTCGGTGTGAGACATACCATAAGATAAGATATATTATACTAGCTGGGCCCCCTTTCGATGTCAAACAAATTCCTTTTGAATGAATTATTTCTATTCCAAATTAAAGCATTCTAGTACAAATTTTGGGCGGGATATTTAGAAAATTTTTTTTTAGGGGGGAATCACCTTGTATATAGTGATTATATACTGCTCCTAAAATAACGTTATAGTGTTGATATGGGTGTTAGACCCATACCGTTAAATAAAAAAAAATATAGAGATTATTAAATATGCCAACTGACCCCGAAGGAGAAATATGTGACAAAAAGAACAGTATTTTGGAGGTAGTCATGACTACCGCGAAAATACAGTTCATCGTTGACCAACGTATTTTTATGGTTGAAACATAAATTCGAAACAAAGTCCTCTTTGCAGACACGGAATCTCTTCTGTAAACGGTTTGGAATCAACACCAAAGACCGTAAGAAAATACCAAGTAAATTAACAATACTTAAGAGGGTGGCTGATTTCAAGTCCCATGGCGCTGTTGAAAATAAAAATAAGAGATAAAAAACGAGGGTCACCCAAAATGGAAGACCGATGCAAGTGCGCACTCCTGAGAATGTGGCAGTGGTCATGGAGTCTGTGAGCAAAGAACCTAAAAAGTCAGTTCGTTGTCATAGTATTGAATTAACTGTTGCTAGAGAATCTGTTCAGTGCATGTTGAAGTACGATCTGAAGTTTAAACCGTACAAGATCCACGTGCATCAAAGGTTCAGCAGGCAGAGTGACAATGAAAAGGTGGTCGCTTCAGGAGATTGAAGACGACGGGACTTTGCTGGGCCAAATATGTTTTAGTGTTGAGGCCCACTTTTACCTGAACGGATATGTTAATAACAAAAATTACATTTTCTGGGGGTTTGCAAAGCCTGACGAAGTGTACGAATGAAATCTCCACCACTTAAAAGTCACTGCCTGGGTTGCCTGGGTTGCCATGAGCCGCAAGGACATCATTGGCCCATATTTCTTCACGGGCGGGGATGGAGACACGCGGACGGTCACCTCCGACCGTTACCCCAAGATGTTGACGAGGTTTTGGAGAGCTCTGGGGAGGTTGGTTGGAATGGAAGTGAGGGCAAAGCAATATTTCACGCAAGATGGTGCTGCCCTACACACTGCGAGAACTGTCCTTCAGTGGTTGAGGAACCACTTTGACGAGAGACTTATCTCAAGTCGTGGCACAGTGGACACCTGAACTTCTCACAGTCCCGATTTCAACCTCATATATTTCCATCTCCAAGACCTAAATGATACAGTATGTGGCAGTAACTTTCAAACCTTCCAGCAGCTGAGCGACTCTGTTACCACCAACGCCAGAGCCTTCCCCTGGAGCAAATTATGAAAAATGTCATAGACAATATTTCGTCAAGGGCCTCAGAGGGTGTATCGCCCGAAACGGACGTCTCACATGGAGCATGTGCTCTAATTTTCTTCAAACTTGGAATTTTCATTTGTAATTTATTTGTCACACTGGATCCGGTTGCTGACTTAGTACATCTGTGAAATCTTGTTGTTTATCTCTATTCTAACAGTTTTTGTGGGTGTCTCCGTGGGTAAAAGTTTTTTTTTGTCATCTGGTGTTTATAATATAGTAATATATTTTGTGTGTGTTTGTGTGTGTGTGAGTGTGTGTGTATGTGTGTATGTATGTGTGTGTGAGTGTGTGTGTGTGTGTGTGTGTGTGTATGTGTGTGTGTGTGTGTGTGTGTGTGTGTGTGTGTGTGTATGTATGTCCAGATCCCTGACCTTAAGGTAAGTAAAATCGAACACCTAGCCTTCTCGTATAAGAACGACAAAATCTCGGAGGTCCCGTGTGCAAGTTACACATGTTAAAGATCCCTTGATGGTCCCAAAATCGATAAGAGTAGGCTGCGCCGCCAGCAAGGAAAAATTCAAAATTAATTCCAAACAAACTGAAAATGTCTCTCGCGCTCATATGATCTTATGCAGTTGTCAATTCCGTAAAACTCTTAGAAGAAAAAAATACCCCCCCCCAAAAAAAAAAGAAAGAATAAATGACAAAGCAAATAGTTTAAATGGCGAAGATAAGATACTTGAAAGATAAAAGATAATTAATGAAGACATTGATCCCTATGCATTTTGATCAGTGAACAAGAAGAACACAAATATAATGAATAATCAAAATCTTTTTTTTTTCTTTTGCACTTTTAAAGATCAGAAAATGGCGGCAGGCACAGACCTTAACTCAGATATCAAATCCTGCAAACAAATCCAAACATTCTCAAAAGGCTGGATTTGTTTGCTCAGATGCAGACAGACGTTACAAAAAACAGACTTGGCTGTTCGATGTCTTGGAGCTGAACTACAGGGGCTTTTCTAACTGTGTCTCTACTTTTCCAAAGAAAACGTTAGACAGACTGACAACGGTACAGATATACAGCTTATAATTGGATCAACGGGAAAATAAAACTATTAAAGGTTCATAGTAATGATATGCAGTTAGGTGTGAGGATAATATTCGTACGCACTAGTGTGTGATAGATTCGTGTTGACACCTTCCTAGGTTTTTAGTTGGAGCGAAGATCGAAGGCTTTTATAATCTCACGGTGTCTTAGGTAGATTCTGTAAACGTGATTCAGCGAAGACGTTTCTTTTTTTCTTATATATTACCACCACCCTTTTTTACATCTAGGATTGATCCCGCTCCATTGTTTCCTTACTTGTGTTGCTATCGCTTATGTTTTTTGTTGTTTGTTGTTTTTGTTTTTAGTAAGTGTTTTACGGCGCTTGCAATTGCATAAGGTATACGGTCATATTATAATTTATGAGCTTTGCTTTTGTTTGAAAGAATGAGAATATGACTTCCCTGGAAAATTATACTACACATATAGAGTGCCGTAAAAAGTTTGTGTATAATATGTGTGTGTGTGTGTATGTGTGTGTTTGTGTGTGTGTGTGTGTGTGTGTGTGTGTGTGTGTGTGTGTGTGTATTTGTGTGTTTGTTTGTGCGTTTTATGAGTGAGAGAGAGA